TCTTTCCTGAGGAAGGCTACTTCATACCAAAAGGCCTGTCTATATTCTCGGAGGCTTTTAAGATCCGGCTAGATGAAGCCTTGGCTGGGATGATCTAGCTGGGGATGGTCCGTCCTTGAGCAGGGCTTGGACTAGATGCAACCTCGTGAGGTCCCTACCAACACTCATTTTTTACAGTTCTGCCCCTCCCAACTATACAATAAAAACCATCACGCACAAAACCCTTGTCTCACATTTTTCTGGCCATCACAGCTAAAACACAGCAGGGCCCTCTGTCTCTTCCAGCTTCTAACAACCCTTAGTCATGGCTTTCGGGATGATGACGGTCTCCTGAGTTACCTGCACTTTCACAACCCAAATGGGCATGCGCTTGTAGCCGTGCTTGTCTAGGTCAGAGCCTGCTGTGCATGTTCAGTCGAGTCGCTCGTGTGCACTTGTCTGCACCGCCGGGGAAACGGAGCTGTGATTTGTGCATGACTTCTAAAAGCGCTGCTTAAGCGGCTGGAAAACTAACGTTTTTCTTCCTCTAAAGAGCACCCAGGAAATACTTCGCTCTTATCATGCTTTTTCCGCCCCCTCAAAAAAGCACCCTGGCAAGATGTGAAATACTGGTTTACTGCTTGGACCAAGTGGCAACTTTATTATTTGTATTTTTTAGTAAAATATCCTCAGAATTCATAGATTCGTGGATTCATAGACGGGAAGGGGCTGGAGGGGACCTCGCAAGATCATCGAGTCCAGCCGGCATCAGAATAGATGAGTCTCCTAGTAACAGGTTCAGTGTATGAGCAAGATGAGTGTTGCTTTAAGATACACCCTGGGCTATGGAGGGTAGAATGGCTCTAGCATATTTCTGTCCCTATAGCTCTTGTACTCCTTGTCATCCTGCAGTGTACTTTTCTGAAAAGTGAGCAATGTCATCCTCCCACTTCCTTGGCAAGATCCTGAACTATTAGGTCACTGACCACAGGGTGGACACCATTCCCTTCTTCCCCAGGCCCACATCTACTTGTCACTGAAGTTAATGCTACTGTCTTTCAGACACATTGGGTCTCACAGACGTCTCCCATCTAAGTGAATTGGGTCATGCTTTATGCAGAGACAGTGGAAGTGTATAAAGCTGTCCGCTGAGAGAATGGGAGAGGGGTGTGCATCTCCCTATTTCGTGTAGGATCACCCTCTGGAGTTACACACAGCTGCTGCACGTTGCCAGAATGGAAAAGTTATAAATCAGTGAAGAACAGGGCAGCTTTCTTGAGCCAATCTGTGTCCTTTTGAGGCTAGTGGTGACAAAGTTTAGATATCTTAGAGGGGAGAAATGCTATTGATGGCATTGTTGTTTTTGCTCCGCCTGTCCCCCAGGATACTAGAAACACAGAGTTACACAAATACCTTTTTCCCCCATAAACTCCATAATTCAGGATACCTGGCACTCTTACAGAGAAAGCCTGAAACAGTACCACAGAATAGAAAACTATGTAAAATAAAGGAGTAATGCATGTCTGTGATTAGTTGAATACATAAGAAATTCTCAGATTCTCACTATCCTGGCATTTTTCACAGCACTGTTTAAAGTGATAGGACCTCATCACCCCATCTCTGCTGAGGTTGGTGAGGACGTTGTGTTACCCTGTCACCTGTCCCCCAGGAGGAGTGCTGAGGACATGGAGGTGAGATGGTTTCGGTCTAAGTTCACTTCCTATGTGCACCTGTATCGATATAGGAAGGATCAGTTCGACCAGCAGATGCCTGAATATCAAGGAAGGACGGAGCTTTTGAAAGATGGTTTCACCAATGGAAGTGTTGACTTGAAAATTGCCAGTGTCCAACTCTCTGATGAGGGGCAGTACACCTGTTTTATTCAGGATGATGTCATTACTGAGGAGGCCCAAATGGAAATAAAGGTGACAGGTCTGTAGTCCAATTCATTGATTCATCTGTGGGTGGTTCTTAGTGATTCCCAGTAGCGCATCCTTACACAGAATTCACTTTTAACTGTTATTTCATTGTTAGAAGGAGTTCCAGTATGTCACTTCTGGATTCGGGCTCATAGGATCATTTCAAAATGTTACCTTATATCTGCCACTGATATAACATTATTTTATGTGTTCTAAATTTGGCAAGAGGTTCTTAAAATATTACACCTTCTTCACTCATTTTACATCTTTGGCCCTATATTTGGCTGCTATAAGGAGGTGGGAGAAAAAGAATAATAGAGAAATAAAACTTGATTTCTTGGATTCACATATTTAAAATCTAAAGCCCAAGACTTCTGAGTAGTTCAGTTTACTGAGATGATTAGCTCATGAAAAAAATTCATTGAGCACTGTGAAAATGCCCTTTCTTTACTTGTGAATGTTTTTTTATAGCACAACAAGCCTGAACGGTCTTCTCTTTAACTCGGGAAGAATCACTCTACCTAGACATGGGCAGTGGGGTCTTGTGAGATAATAATGACATGGGACCTGCTGCCATGCAACAGCACTGCAACAGCTCCCATGCACTCCATTCATTTTGGTAAAGGCTGTTTGAAAATCGGAGGGGGAAAACTTCACCTTGTGATCAGCTATTTCTCCCATTCAGCTCTGAGGCTGTATCCACATTCACATAAGCCTGGCTGAGTATCATCCACTAGGAGATGTTGTAGATGACAGTGGATTTGGAGTAAAATCTTGTTTTCATTTTTCTAAATCTCCCTCCTTGCCACTATACAAGGTTGCTTTTCATTGCAGCAGAAGTAGTGAATCAAACCAAGCTCATTTAAACACTGTGCATTTACATTTTCTGACTGTTGTTTACAATCTTTTCTTTTCTTAATTAGTTTGGGGCATTTTCTGTAGAGTAGACAAAGTTAAATTTTCCCTTTTAGTTTAGATCAGTCCTGAGGGAATGGAGATGTAGGAAGCAAACACTTGATTTTTCCACACTTCACACAGTAAGGTGACTACCTTTGGGCTTTTGTTTTTCAGATCATTCTTCCCAGAAGGTACCCGCTTGGATAGTGGTCCTAGGTGTGATCATGGTGGTTTTGTTTGGTGTCATTATCCTGACTGTTTATTTCTCTAAAAGAAAAGGTAAATATAGAAAATGAACTAGAAAGATATTTTCTGGTAAAATATAAATAAGATCATGAACAGCACTAATGGGAAGCCTCTAATATCCCTGCCCTGCAAACTGTCCAGGAAAAGAAATAGCATTAAGGTTCAGAGGATGAACCAGGGACTGGGAACACACCAGTTTGGCCTCAATTTTACATGGTCGTCCCTCTCCCATTCCCAGTTCTGAGAGGGTCACTTCTGGCTGCCTCTGGTTTCAGTTCAAACAAGACTGAAAAAACAAGAATTGTCCGTGCAGTATACTACACTGACAGATGACACCGTATTGAAGGATAGGCTAGAAATGTCTGTGCAAAGGCAGTAAGTAATGAGATGTGTTCCTTATTGAGAGAAACAATTCTCTGCAAACCAGAAATTTTAAATCCACACCTTTTTGAATGCTCAAAGACAAAATGTTCATCAATCCTAAAGTACCTTTCCTATGTCATAACTCTAATATAAGCCTACGTACGCTGGTACAAATTCATACATAGTTGTTCTTTCAATGTCTATCAAGGAAGGAATAACCTCTAAATAGTAACCTTTATTAATTTCTTTACATATTTTTAGGGAAACATGTGAAAGAAGTTGGTAAGTCTCACTTTTCCTCTTTCCACTTTGGCAAACAGCTGGACTGCAATGAGCACAGTGGCTTTGTTTGTATTCATGTGTTTGCGGAGGGCGGTGGGGGGGGAAGAGGGGTGTGATTTACTTTTTTTTCTTCATTATATTTAATTGTACAATAGAAGCAAGACTAAGGCTGCTGAAAAGTAGTTGCAAATGGAATATTATAAACAAAAAAACTAGGGAATGAATTAAAAAATCATCTGAAAGCACTATGGAATAAGAAAAGAAGAAAAAACAATGTTTCACCTTTTGCTAAAATAAACTGAAGCATTGATTGGATATAATCAAGTTAATGATTAATCTAAATGCCTTGACTGTACTCCTGAAAATGTAACCCAAGACAGAAGTGTAAGACAACTGCAGTGATGTGGCTGTAGCATTTAGGTCCTTGAAGGGACATTCAATGTAGTCTTAGCATTTTAATGTCACAAGATATATTGTGTTAAATCTTTAGCCTCCACATGAGAAACACATATATGTGTGGTTTCATTTTTTTTAATATTGTAGTAAACACCTGATAGAAATTATATCCGTGTTTTTCCCCTCATGTATCACTATGGAAAATCATTATGTGTGTTCAGAGGAGTTCTCATACTTGAATATGTGTTTTTTTTCAGGCTGGAGAGAACTTGCTGCACTTCTAAAGGAAGGTAATAAAACATGAAATATCCTTTATCAGTATCCACGTAAGAGAATGTGGCCCCTTTTCCTTGTATGTGAAAGTGGATAACTGAAGGCATATCGCAAGGTCTCCTGCCATTCACTACACACTGTGATGAGAGGCAGGTTTTGTGGCATGACATGGCACATCCAGGCGTTATCACATCTCCTCCTCTTCCTCTGCTGGCACATGCACTACTACCTGAGGGGATGTCTGGCAGCATGTTTCAGAGTTACACAGGGCATGTGGGGCTCACACCTCCTACACAGCCAGGCCCTGCTCTGTCTCTGCAAATGTTCATCCCCTTTTGGCTTCTGCTCTGCTCTTCCTCTCACTCTTTCTCACTACTTGCTGCCTGGGAGAGGGACAGAGGCACACTTCGTGAAGGAGAAACAGAGTGAATCAGTAATGTAACTAGGGATGGATAAGTAGGGCACCAGCCTCAAGTAGTCTCCTAATAAGAGATTGATTTAGAAGGAGTGCAAGAATGATAAAAATGCTGCTAAAAATGCTGCAGCTACCACTGCTGTCAAGGGTGCAAACAGTGCTTGTTATGCCCTGCAGTAAACTCTGAGTCTGGTGTCTAAGCACTACATACATGGTGAATGAAAAGCATCCAGACCAGAGTTACAGAGAGATGGGAAAGAGGCAAACCAGAAAATCCTGTTCAAGATAGAGGGCACTTCTCCTGAAAATGAAGCAGACCGTAGAGGTGAAGTGATGGGCAGGAGAGGGAAGACTCAG